TCATTTTTTTTTCTGGTGCCCTGGCCACTAGATTGGCATCTAGGTTCAAACAATTTACTGTCGAAATAGCTGAATAAAACTGCCATTTCTTCTCCAGCAGTTGCTTTTCTCACACTTTCCACCCATGGAACTTCCTTCCATTTACTTGCTTCCATGATAACTACAATTTTCAAAAATCACCATTTTCTATTTTGTTGAACCCTGTTGATCTTTTATTGTTTCTTCAATCCTCCTTATACTCTGTCTTTCCTCTCACTTTCACTCCATGTAAACTCCTGCATATTTATTAGTGGCATTTTTACGTTGCTTGGGTTGAAATGATTTTTTTTAAAAAGCCCCTTTTTTTCTGGTATGTTTTCCTGAGAATTTTGTTTGGTTAAGAGGGTTCATATAAGAATCTGATAAATTCAATGTTACCCTTGTTTTTTTTTTTGGGGGGGTAGATGTGTTGGAAGGCGGAAGGAGGGTCTAAAATAGGGTGTTGCAAAGTAATAGGATAGTGAGAATTATTATTCTTCCAGGGTCGTAGTAAGTATGAGCATTATTTTTAAAAAGCATTGCGAGAACGCCACTAAGACACAATGGGTTACTGATAGTGAAAGAATCTGAGAAAAAGAAACATTATTAAGGTGAGAGTCTCATAAAAGAACAGGAATTAAGAAGACAGAAGATGACGATTGACATTGTATTTAACTTTTTGAAAATCAAAGTTGACTGAAAATCAAGAAACCAGAAGAGAGTTCCACAAGCGGGAAGTGCGAGAGGAGAAACGGTTAACATAGAACGTACGGTCACATCTAGCTAATTCAATTGTAAACTGATGAGACCTTGCCGCCAATCTCGTAATGCGCTCGAATTCATTAAGTCGAGGTACGAAAGGGGAAAACTCACCAGAGCAATTAGCATGAATGTAGTTATAGAAATGACACAGGGAAGCTACTTTACGGCGGTGGAAATGTGGCTTAAGCCGACATGCAAGTTTAGTCCCAATAACATTGCAGATTCTTCTTCGTATTTTATCAAAAATCCCTTAACGACTTGATGCGACAGGAATCAATATGATCAAATGATCGCTTAAAATTTGAAACTCTGTTTTACCATGTAGTATTGATTTCTATGTTCACACTATTGTTATGGTAACCACATCACCAGTACCTAGCGTGTTGAGGTTGTGGTTCAAGCATGATGAGGCTGTCGCCCTATAGATCAAAAGAGGAGTCTACAGAATTAACGTTCCTTTAATATGTTATATTTTGAAGGAAGTGTGAAAATCCCTTCTTCTTGGTTTATAGTCTGTCCGTAAAATCTGATGGTGAAAGGGAAGTACCGTGATTAGATTTTGAAAATGTATTTTAACTCCGATCTGCGTCTTTCTTATCGGTTCTTAAATTAACATTAACACCGATAATTATAAGGACAGGTCAATCAGTTAACTTTGTTTCTAAAACTATATACTTGGATAAGTGAAACAGAAGATCAAATACGCAATACTAAAGCAAAGTGACATTCCCACACTCACTGACCGCACTCCCTGGTTAAATACCCGCTTCAGTATAAACCCAAGAGAAAATGGGTCCTGGACATCAGTCCTCTCTACCCTTTCACCAGATAAAAGGGCAGGTCCAATCCACTCTAGTCACCAAGTAACTAGTCAGGACGTCTACAAAGAAGGAGAGGGTCTCCCTCTCTCTCGCTCTCTCTCTCTCTCTCTCTCGTGTGCGCTCCCCTGTCTCTCGCTCCCTCCCTCTCTCTGTTCTAACGTTAGATAAGCTATGAATTCTGTCTTCTAAGAAGGACACGGGATTGTATTTGTAGCCAAAAGAAATTAAACCTTATAAAGCATCGTTCACTAAGCGTTCAACCTCCACACAACAACCGATTTTAAATAGATGCAAATATACATGCATTTTTGTGTATCTACGCATTTATATAGGGTGAGTGTCGTTTCATCTTACTTTGAACCGCAACCCACCCACCAGAAGTTTCATTTTTTTATTCTTGAATTACGTTTAATATTTTTTAAATGTGAAGAGATATTATTTAATGGATTACCTCAAAGCTATTAATACCTTTCGTCCTGTATAATTTTTTTCTGTTTTTGTTCGCCGAGTTTTAACGGAAAACAAAAGATAACATAAGTATTCTGTACATTATTTACATTATTCGGACTATTGTCCTCATCTTTGTCGCCATATTTATTACAACGTTTCGGTCTTTCAGTATCTGTCTATATTTCTGAGATGAGGTATTATGTACACTATTTACATTATTCGGACTATTGTCCTCATCTTTGTCGCCATATTTATTACAACGTTTCGGCCTTTCAGTATCTGTCTATATTTCTGAGATGAAGTATTATGTACACTATTTACATTATTCAGACTATTGTCCTCATCATTTCGCCATATTTATTTCAACCTTTTCGAAACGTGTTCAGATAAACTGCATCTCCTGGTTTCACCAGGTCTAACCTTGACAGCTAGGACCCACCATTCCACTTACATAGTGATGAACCACCTATATTCCCTCTGTATTCCATCAGCGAGAAGTAAGTTCCGCTCAAACAGCTTCTTCTCATGAACCACTATGGAACAGACTGCCAAGCAGATGTTTCTTCAATCACTACAATCTTAACCTGTTCAAGTCTAGAGACAATCGTTATCTTCCCCTTCTATCCATACAAACTACACCTTAATGTAACCCTCTAACTTGAGTGACCCTCAGCCCTTGTACATATGATCCATCTCCAAAGATGTAGGAAAATGTTCAGCTCCCTGTACCACTCCAGTAAGTACCTGACTCCTCATGCTATTCTTTACCTTTGTAAGAGCCAGATCAGGCCGAAAATGGATTACTCTGTCATATTTGGGTGGGAGATGGGGGGGGGGAGAAGAGAATTCATACCTTTCCCAAGGGTATCAACACTTAAGTGAATGTAATGGATGCTACTGGAATTCGAACTCGGCTCTCCGATTCCTCAATCCGAGCCGCTATCCATTACTTCCCCGTGTCTTACAACACATAAAGAAAAGAAAAGAAAATATTACATGTAGATTAACAATACAGAAAATGAAATTGGTGAGACTAGTTTAAGTTTTGGTGGATGTAGCTTGCGTTCACCTGGGAAGAGCATGCAACCCCCCCCCCCCCCAAAAAAAAATAACAGGACAGATTGGGCTCTCTAGCCTTTTTTGGCCACTGGTCTAGAAGATGACAACTTTGAGCTCATAACCATGAAAAACACACAAGCAAGCCAATTAACTATCTTTTCCATGGCAATACAGTGTTTACAGAAGTTGTGAAGGGCCATGATTGCATCTGTCAAGCGAAAGAACAAAGACAGATGTAAAGACAGATGTAAAGACAGATGTAAAGAGGTAATTTGTTTATTTGTTTTTTGTTTTGTTTTTTTTTTAACTTAAATATAATCAAAAACCCATGTTCTGGAAATTTAAAAAAATATAATGACAAATTGGAATTACTACAAAACCCCCAAAACAGTAAAATACTAATGAAAAATCAAAAACAAAGAATAAATAATAGTTGAACGAAAAAGAGACTGAATGAAAAAGATGTGTTATTAGTCTTAAAAACTATTAGAAGTGTTTATTATGATGGTTTTTGAAGTGACAGATACAATTTTTCTCCTTACATTAAAGGCTCTAAATAAAAGTACTGTTAGTTGTTATTAGTTCTTTTTTAATGTCTGCAATCTAATGACCGACAGTTTCCAGTATTGCCACCTGTAGTGTGTTTCAGTAAAATGCAGCCAAAAAGAGAAATACATAAATAAATAAAATTAGAATAAAATTAAAAAAAAAAAGATCAAAAATAAACTGAGATACTGGAAATAAATCGAAAAGAATGTAATTATCAGATGCAAAAGAAAAGACCAAAAAAAAGCCGGAAATTGATAAAAACTAAATTACAACGACAAGATGAGAAGTCACAAGTAAAAAGAATTATCAAGCTATAAAGAGGACAGCCCAAATAATGATGATGATAACTGTCATCAAATAGCCAGTGATAATATATTGTTAGTGACACCCTATCAATTTGCTGTGACAGGACGAGAAGCTGATAGATTAATTTTCTAATTATTTCTTTTTCATATCCCCAGTTTGTTTTCTCATTACAAAATGGAAAGCGAAAACGAAGACAAAACATAAAGTCCCTAACTGCTAAAACAAAACAAAAAAAAAAATGTAGGTAAAAAAAGAAAAAAATGGAAATGATCCATCATGAAAAATAATGTTTTTTTCCCAATTCTGATATCTATTTAATATATTCTGGGGCCGTTGTTTAACAAGCTTATTAACAACAAAAACAAACGAGAGAATCAAATTGCTACTCTTTTTGTTTGTTTGTTTATCCATCTGCCCATTTGATTGTGACCTTTTTTTTTGTTTTATGTTTTATCTATGTTTGCTGTTGATAGCAAAATAGAGAAACAGCCTTTGGTTCCTGTGAAGGTTTATCAGTACTGACAAACATGGCCGTCTCAGGGGAGATAACTGTTCTAAAGCAGCAATAAACATTGTCAATTGCTTGAGGAATTCATTTGTTGTGTTTGTCACGGTTTGTTTTTGTTTTGTTTTTTTTAATGTTTGAAAATGAAAGAAAATTGAAGCACAAATATTTAATGTAGAAAAAATACAAAGTGAACAAAATTATAGCTACAGACTATATCGTCATCCATTGTCCATTACACTCTACCACTGGTGAGAACATAAAATTTTACTTTTGTCTTTGTTTTTGATAACATTTTCATTTGTTGATTCAATTTTTTTATTTATTTTTCTCCTTGTCTTTTCATTATAATTTTCTCTTACCCAATTATTCAAATACTCTCTTCTTTTTTAGTATAACTGTTTCATTTTTATCTTTTTTTTTTTAATCATTTCCCTCCAAGCAAGGCAATACTGCCACTAAGACTCAAGGGGGTTACTGGAAGGGAAAGAGACTTTATTGAGGAGAAAGAACAGGTTTCAGGAAAGAAGATGGTGACTGGCATTGTATTTATCCACCTTTATCATATTTCTTTCTTTCTCTCTTACTTAACGCTTTCTCTCGCTCTTGCAGTTTCTCTCTATTCCATTTTCTCTCTCATTTTATCTCTCTTTCAATTTCTCTCCCTAACTTTCTCTCTCTTTCTTTTTATCTCTCTCTCTCACTTTCTCTCTCTCTCTCTCATTTTATCTCTACTTCACTTTCTCTCCCTCACTTTGTCTCTTTTTCACTTTACCTCTCCCTCTCTCTCTCTCTTACTTACACTTTCTCTCACTTTCACTTTAACTCTCTTTCACATTCTCTCTTTCTCTCGATCTCTTTCTGACTTTCGCACTTTCTCTCTCTCACTTACTCTCTTTTTCACATTCTCCCTCTCTTTCTTTCTCTCGTTTACACTTTCTCTCTCTCCCAAACGTCCTCTCTCTCATTTTCTCTCTCTTTCACCTCATCTCTCTCTTACTGTCTCTCTCCTTCATATTCTCTTTTTCTCCCTCTCTCTCACGTTGTCTCTCAATTCTCTCTCTTTCTCTTTTTCTCTCAAAATATCTCTCTCACACTTTCTCTCTCTTTCACCTTATCTCTCTTTCCCATTCTCACTTTCTCCCTCTCTCACACTTTCTCTCTCTTTCACCTTGTCTCTCTCTCACTTTCTGTCTCTTTCACTTTCTCTCTTTTCACTTTCTGTCTCTCTTTCTCTCTATCTCAAACTTTCTCTCTCTCTCCCTCCATTTTTTAATTTCTGTTTCTCTTTTTAATCACACATACTATTTATTTTCTAGTTCTCCATTAAAAATTTAACTATATTCTTTCCATAGTAATTTTTTAAAACTTTCTATATAGATATTTTGGTAATTCTTTTCTCTTCTTATTTTTTATAATTTCAGCAATTATCGTTCTTTCATTCATCTTTTCTCGTATTTCTCACCCTTTTATCAGTTTGTTCTTTCATTTTTACTCTTCTATCAGATGAAGCAAATTTAGTATAGGAGGAAAAAGGTAATTGAATATAAAACAGGTTGGGCTAAAGATAGTTTTACCCAATACCATAAATTGCTACAAACAAAACACCAGAGAACTCAAGTCATATTCTTAAATAACCTTATCAGATCGAGATTTCAACATGGATGCCATGCATGGCGTCAAAGCCATTCAGAAATATCGAAACTCTCAGCTGTCTGCAACAACTTCCTAAGATCAATGGTGAAAAAAGGCTTTGAGCAAGTAAAGACTGACGGTCTTGGCAAAGATCATCGTGCTTTGAACACTGTGAATCTGCACTAAAGATGTATAACAGTTCTAAATAACAGAAACCATATCGCTTAAGGAATACCAACATCAGCAACAACAAAAATGGATATCACATGTAACTCAAGGAGAAAATAATGACATAATCATCATATTGGCCTTCTACGCGACTTCAAACAAAAGGTTAGGAAGGAAATCTCCATAAATACTGGAAAGAGCAATAACAGCTACTAGACTTGAAAAACTTATTTTCCTGAAAAATTGATTTAAGAAAAAGATTTTATAAATTTCAACCGAAAATCTGACCAGCCAATGAATGCCAAATGTTTCCTTATGAGGAAACGGCTAATATTACCATTAGAGGTGAGAACAGATACTACACTTTGAACCCAGCCCGATGAGCAAGGATTGAAGAAAAGCGTAACTCAAGGAGCACTGTCTGCGAGGTCAATGAATGCCAAATGTTTTCATATAAGGAAATGGCTAATATTACCATGAGCATTAGAGATGAGGAGAACAGATACTACACTTTGATCCCAGCCTGATGACCAAGGAGTGATGAAAGGCGTAACTCGAGTAGCACTGTCTGCTAGGTCAATGAATGCTAAATGTTTTCATGTAAGGAAACGGCTAATATTACCATTAGCATTAGAGATGAGCAGAACAGATACTACACTTTGATCCCAATCTGATGACCAAAGAGTGATGAAAAGCAGAATTCGAGTAGCACTTTCTGCTTGGTCAATGAATGCCAAATATTATTATTAGCATTAGAGATGAGGAAAACAGATACTACACTTTGATCCCAGCCTGATGACCAAGGAGTGATGAAAAGCACTGTCTGCGAGGTCAATGAATGCCAAATGTTTTCATGTAAGGAAATGGCTATTATTACCATTAGTATTAGAGATGAGGAGAACAGATACTACACTTTGATCCCAATCTGATGACCAAAGACTGATGAAAAGCGGAATTCAAGTAGCACTTTCTGCTTGGTCAATGAATTCCAAATGTTTCCGTATGAGGAAATGGCTAATATTATCATCATTACTAACATCATTCATTCACTGACTTAATGAATGCCCATACCTATCTCTCTCTTGTTGTCACTCACTATTTTTCTTGTAAATGTAATGTCAATCGACATCTCCTGATGCCTTGATCTTGTTCCCGCCCTTCTCTTTATCCTTTCTTCAAACACTCCTCTTTACTCTTACTTTCACTCTCTGTAAACCCTTGTATGCTAGTGAAATGCTTAAAAAAAATTTAAATTTCTTTGCATTTTTCTTTTATAATTTCCAGAATAATTACTACCGTAATTCCCCATGTATATTACGCAGTTTTTTCTAAAAAAATAGCAAGCAAAATTAGAGGTGCGTATTATACACAGCTACAAAAATGTCTTCAAAAAATTACCGTTTCATAGGTCAATTTCAGTTGTGAAATGACTACTCACCACAAAGATACAACAATTTGACACTAACATTCGACGATTGCGACCCCATAAGTATGTTAAATACAATTATGTCTACCTAACAATACTTACAACTGTAAAATAAAATAAGAATTATTATAAAATTAAATTAAAATAATAATATTTTGTTTAAAACCAATTTTTTAAAATAGGATAAATCCCCATGTATAATACGCATTTTTTTTTCTAAAAAATAATAAGCAAAATCAGATGTGCGTGTTATGCATAGCTACAAAAAAATCTTTAAAAAAAATTGCCGTAAAATAAAATAAGAATTATCATAAAACTAAATTAGAATATTATTATTCTATGTTTAAAACCATTTTTTTTATAAGAGTAGGAAATGCTGGCCGTAATGGAATTGGAAAGGTATAATTTATAGGATTTGATTATCTAACAAGGGGTGCGTATTATGCGCGAGCAGAAGCAGTTTCCTGCATTTTCAGCACAATTTTAGGTGCGCGTATTATTGATGAAGGCGTATTATACATGGGGAATTACGGTACTTTTTTCATCCTCCGACTTTTGTCTCAGTCTCATGTTTATAATTTCACTTTAACCCTCTTACTTCTCCCTCTCCTCGTCTCTCTCTCTCTCTCTCTCTCTCTCTCACTCTGTCACACTTATTTTTTATTGCTTAGTATTTCTTTGACTTTTCTTTCTTTCATAATTTCTTAACTGATAAACTTTCTTTCATCTTCTAAGTTTACTTTTATTTTCTTTCCATCTTTTACGTGATGGATGTGCAGGTGATGTAATGGATAGTGGCTTCAAAATAGAAATCAGAGAGCCTAGTTCAAATTACAGTTGTGTTTATTTGCATTCATTTACACCCTTGAAAAAGTATGAATCCATCTCCTCCCATCACCTATGCAGTAAATAATAGGACTAATATCTGGAAAAAACCACTGTTAATGCCCCAAAAATTGTTAATTCAATATTCAGTCATAAAAAAAAATAAATTTCATAATCCAAAATATGTTGTGGCCTTAAATAATCCACAAAGGGTTGATAAACCATAAAATCAATTTATCAATCCTTTTTTTTAGTTCATAATTATACTTATACTTTAATCATCTTACTACTTCAATCACTTTGAATGTGTGTGTTAGAGAATGCAGAGACTGGTCTAGGATGGCAAACTACCGGTCAGAAGACCCTGTGAACAAGTTTGGGTATAAGACCAAAATAGGGAAAAGACAGTGGACAGCCACAAGAATTTTGAAGAGGCAACATACTTTCCACACCCAGATTCTTTAGAGAGACTAGACCACATGTGTCAGAATGCTAAACTGAGATCTTTTCTCCTTCTACTCACTGGAATCTATGATAACACATCTCTCCTTCTTGTATAATACAATGAATAAGAAAAAAGATTTTGCCTTTCATTGGGACAGTCTATGACGTGACATAATCTGAAGGACTGAACCCAGGGGTGTCATAGAACACAACACATGTTTCTTCTCTCTCTTTCTCTACTTCTTAGCATTTATTTGTCTCTTCTTTCTTTCATAAGCTCTTCATTTATTGCTAAAAATGGAAAACTTACCTTCTTCTTTTATGTGTTGTATCTTTTCAGGGCATGAGCAATTATGGCTCTCTACAACTTCTTGTCCTTTGTATTTCTTAGTAAATTTTATCTGTTAGCATAGAATTTACAGTTGCATCTGTAAAATGCTGAAACTTTGCCACCAATCTAGTTAAATTCATAAAATTTAGGTACCCTAGAGGAAAGTTTATCAGAACTTTTGAAAGAATGCGATGAATGAAGCTTTTGAGTAAAGGTTGGCATGAAACCAAAATAATTTTGATGCATCTAAATAAATATAGAAGAAGAAGAAGAAGAAGAAGAAGAAGAAGAAGAAGAAGAAGAAGAAGAAGAAACTTTCAAAATATGAAATCCTTGAAACTGAAATTGCAAGAATGCAGCATTTAACCAGAACCATTATTCCATTACAAAGAAGAATACTAGAACTGAAAATGGTTAAAAATCCCAAAAGGAAAATCACCACTCACATACTCAAAAAAAGCACCCAGGAACAAGCTCATTAACTTTCTAAGAAAAAGCTTCCGCTATCTCAGGTCTCAGCTAAAAGACTTGGTAAGGAATGGTAAATCAAGAAAACAGGTAGAAACAAAAACAACAACCACAACAACAATAATAATAATGTTTCATTCTTGCTGTACAGGATCAATACTTGATAACTAGAAATTACCAAGCAAACATGCTGAAAATTGTGTTAACGTGAAATGCAGATTCTGTGATGAATATCCAGAAACAATTGGCTATGTTGGTTGTATATTATTAGCATCCACTGAATATAAAACTTAGAATGATGAGTAGGCCAATACAAGAATCTCTTGATTAGTAATGTGTACATCAGCAACTATAAACAACTTAATTATCAACTAATATGGTTAAACTTAAGAATGTTTTTCTGCACTAATCAAGTATTATGTATGTACTAATTGAATTTTACTATATAAAAATTTTAGCATACTAATCAAAAAGACATTAATTGAAAGCACATTAATCAAGGGATTCCTGTATCTATACCAGAAAATATACAACATTTACAGGAAGGAAACTATAAGACCTGGTTACTGGGGTCTGTAAAATCTTTACGGGACCTTACAATTCACACAGACAGAATAATCAAAGGTAAGCTTCCAGATCACAAAAACAGAATGTGCCATTTTTTTATTCACATGGTACTTCCTGCAGATTGTAAGCTGTTTTTGAAGATCTTCAAAAAAACTATCAAAATAAAAGGATCTTGATGTGGAAATCACAAAAATGTTGCCCATGAAGGCATTAACAATTCCATTTGTGATTGGAGTCCTAGGGTTTGATAGCAAAAGATTCTAAGAGACTCGTTGAAGGGATTATGGGTAACCCATGCCTTAAAAAAAATACAAAAAAATTGTTCTTACAAATACAGCTCACACATTATGAAGAGTTTTTTGTACTTAAAATGTCTGTGATCTTAGGTTGTTTCACAAAACTGTTCAATGGAAAATGTTATGATGCCTTTTCTGACCTTAGGTCTCTGGTTGGGATCCAGAAGGAAATGAGTATGCAACAGAATTCAAAGGAAATAATAATAATAATAATAATAATAATAATAATAATAATAATAATAATAATAATCTCCGGTTACGGAGATAGGACCTGTTACAATTCTATGGAACTACACAATACACACTGACAGAACAATCAAAGCCAACCGCCCAGATATTGTTATTAAAGACCACAAACAAAAAAGTGCCTCCTTATTGATATGGCAGTCCCTGCAGACTGCAATGTATCTTTGAAGATATTCAAAAAGCTATCAAAATGCAAGGACCTTAAAATAGAAATCTCAAAAATGTGGCACATGGGAACATCAACAATCCCTGTTGTAGTTGGAGCCCTAGGATTGGTTGGAAAAGATTCCAATAAACTAATTGAAGGGATTCCTGGAAGCCTATGCTTCAAAGAGATACAAAAAATTGTTCTCACTAGTACAGCCCACACTTTACGAAATCAATTTTTTTTTTGTTTTTTTGTCAGTGGAAAGTGTCATGATACCATTTCTAACCTTAGGTCCCAGGGCAGGACCTGGAAAGAAACGTGTAAATGCCAGAAATCAACGGAAAAAAAAAAAGAATAATCCATTGTGAAGTATTTTTAGACATAATGGTAATGGTAATATTAGCCATTTCCCTATAAGGAAACATTTGACATTAATTGACCGAGAAACCTGTAGTATTGTTGACTGAATTTATAAAATCTTTCTCTTGAAAAAAAATTTTCCAGGAAAATAGGTAGTCCAGTAGCTATTATCAGTCTTCCTAGTATTAATGGGAGTTTCCTACCTAATTTTTTTTATTGGAACAGCAGCATCTGATTATGTCATCATTTTCTGTTTGCATTATATGTAATATCCATTTTAGCTGTTTCTGCTGTTGAAAGTCCTCAAGGGATGTGGTTTCTCTTGTCTGGGACAGTTATTTGTTTGTGATTCTGTAGTGACAGTTAACAAACTTCGCTTTAACCATTGATCTGAGAAAGCAGTTGTATACAGTTGACAGTTTAGATATTTAGATATTTTTGAATAGATGCATGACAGCCATATGAAAGTTTCAATCTAACAAGGCTACTTAAGAACACTTCAGGTTGATATTTCGGTTTTATAGTAATTTGTGGTGTGGGGCAAAACTACCTCCAGCCCAAACGCTTTTATGTTCAATTTCCTTTTCTTCAATACTAAATTTGTTATGACTTATTCATGTGGCAAGGTATTTGAAGTGTTTAATATTTACTAATTCTACATCCTGAATTTTTATGATAGATTCAGTGTATATCCTATCATTGCTTTCATTCTCATTCCAGATTATAGTTTCTGTTTTGGAAATGTTTATCTTGAGTCCTATTTCTTGGAACACAAGAAACAAAGAAAAGGGTGCTCAACCACTATGTAATATCAATACTTAGTGAATGTTTGCAAATTTCCTCACAAATGAAGAAGAGAATTGTGGCCACAGAGATGTGGTTCTACAGAAGTGTTATACCATAATACCTATTCTATTGTAATAGACTCTCCCACAGATAATAAGTAGTAGTAGCAGTCGCCAGTTGGGCTCAGTGGTGTTGAGCGAGTCAGTCGATGTCGGACATTGAAGTATCAACCATCACAACTAGATTGCTGCGTCATTAACTCTTATTTCAAGTTCCTAACGTTTTGTATGTCGGACCCTTTTTAGAACCGACTTAGCGAAATACAAGCCTCCACTGTGAAAACTACTCTACAACACATTGGCGACAAGAAATTCGTAATTCATACGGGAAAAAAAAAGTTTTCGTTCACTCTATAACAACACATTGGCGACCAGAATTCGAAATTCATACGAAAAAAAAAAAATTAAAGAAAGAAAAAAAAAGAAATTCGTTTCGCCATATACAACAAGAAGCTAAAGTATTTAGAAACTAGAAAACAGCATTAGAAACAAAGAAAGGAGAGCTAAGCCACTATGTAATATCTGTCCTTCTGTATGGCAGTGAATATTGGAGAGTTCCCTCACAGATGAAGAGGAGACTTGAGGCCACAGAGATGTGGTTCTACAGAAGCTAAAGTATTTAGACAACTTTGAAATTGCCTGCATTAAATCTTGATGTTCCCCATGTTTAAGTTGGTGAATGCTGCTATAATCCTTGCTTTAATTTCATCTTTGGTATTACAAGGAATTTTGTTGGTCTCTCCCTCAACTGCACCCCACACATAATAATCTAGGGTGTGATTACAGTCTGGGGTGTTAGGTGGACAGATGTAAGGGGTGATGTGGTCACAGAAATTGTCTAAGGACTAGGTTGTCCTGCTTGTGTGACATTGTGCAGAGTCCTATTGCCAAATATAGGGTCTTCTAGCAGCCACCTTCTTGACCTAGGGAAGCACTACCTCCTCAAGACTGAAGAAGAATCTTATTGCTCCTGACCTTGTATCTTAACTTCATTTACTTACCCACTGCCATAATATAGCTTTGCTTGTGCCTTTTCTATAAATATTTTCATGGTAATTGTTTTAATGAAATTTCTTCTAAGGTACATAGACATTATGAATTTAAGCACACTACTAGATTTGTGGTAAGGTCTCATCATTTTAGTCTTGCATTTCTCACTTGTGGAACTCTCTCCCGGCTTCTTGCTTTCCAGTCTACTTTGATCTTCAAAAATGTAAATGCAATGTCAACCATTATTTTCCGTGTTCTTAATTCCTCTCTTTTTATTGTTCTCTGTCCTTAATAATGTTTTCTTTTACTCAGTAACCTTTTGCGTTTTACTGCCTTAGTTTGCTTTGGTTTGTTTTACGGCATATCAACACCTCAATGGGTCATTTAATTCCGACAACTATTTTTTTCCTGGTAATATTTTTGTTTTGTCAAAAATCTATTTCTGTTAAAAAATTTTTCCCTCAAAAATGTATAGCTGGTAATATTATTTTTTCAAAAACATATAGATGGAAATATTATTTTTTCAAAAACATATAGATGGTAATATTATTTATTCAAAAAGGTATAACTGGTCATATTATTTTTTCAAAAACGTATTGCTGTCAATAGTTTTTTTTTTTCAAACGTATTGCTGGCAATAGTTTTTTCTTCAAAAACGTATTGCTGTTAATATTTTATAATGATTATTACCTCAGTTTCGGGGTTAACTATTTGCCCATAGCTAGGACCCTAACAGGTGCTACCACTCCGAATCAGGGTGAACCTGGGAACACCAACAATTGAGAGGTGGCTCCACGGTCCTCAAAACCTCCTGATCAGAGCCCTTGCTGCTGGATGTAGTTTATCGTCTTATCCAGAACGCGGATGTAGTTTATCGTCATACCCAAGACGGCTTAGTTTGGATGAAAAGATTAAAAATTAGTGTTGATGTTACAAAATAAGTAATGTTGTGGCTACAACGAGAATAGTTTTAAATAGACTTAATTGCAAAATTCTAATTTTCAGCTGATCGCAAGAAATGAAATATACAATTGCTTTAACTTCCAAATCTTCCTTTGTTTCGATGGATCTGAAGAGAATTAGATAGACAGATACGAATGAAGAAAAAACTCTATAAACAGACAGAACAAAAGGGAATGGCAGACAGAAAGAGAGATAGATACATAGATCTGAGCAGAGATAGATAGATAGATAGATAGATAGATAGATAGATAGATAGAGAGAGAGAAATAGTCATTTGAATGAAGAAAAACAGACACATAGAAAACGAAAAGAGATATAAATAGATATGAGAAAAAAAACTCTGTTAAATATCTCGGTATATATGAAGAAAGACTTTGCAAACAGAATGAGTAAAATAGAGAGAGAGAGAGAGAGAGGGGGGAAAGAGATTGAAATGGATATGAACAACTGACATAGATAAATAGAGAGAGCGATAGGAACAACCTCCTGAACAATAAACAGTATGGATTTAACCCCTCTAGGTCCACTGCTGATGTCTTAACTGTCATTACCCATAGAATCAGTAAAGCACTTCATTGAATGAAGACTCTATAAACAGAAAAAAATAAAATGGCAGACAGAAAGAGTGATAGACACATAGATCTAAGCAAACATAGATAGATAGATAGATAGATAGATAGATAGATAGATAGATAGATAGATAGATAGATAGATATGAAGAAAGACTTTGCAAACAGAATGAGTAAAATACAGATAGAGAGAAAGAGATTGAAATAGATATGAAAAACTGAAGAAGATAACTATATATAGAGATAGATGTTCTCCTGAACAATAAACAGTATGGATTTAACTCCTTTAGGTCCACTGCTGATGTCTTAACTGTCATTACTCATAGAATCAGTAAAGCACATCACAGTATCAAATCATCAATATTCCATACATATTCCATTGCTAAGGAGTTAGTTCCACTCAGACATTTCTTCTCCAGAACTGCTACAATGGGGATGAACCTCTTGTTTATTATACTCCTTCATAATATACAATCCTTTCTCCCCTTCTATACAACATTCAGTAGCCATGTACCTTGAGTGGCACTTAGGTATTGTAATGGATGGAAAATAGTAAAAGTAAAAATAAAAACAGGCTTTGTAGTTTAGAGAGAAAGAAGAGGGAGTAATAGAAAGAGTGGTCCTTATTTTCTTCCTGTCTGTCCTCTTATTTAACCCATAGGCGGAGGAAGAAGAGATGGGTTCATACCTTTACTAATGGTATTTGCATGTAAGTGAACGTAAAAAACTCAACTGGAATGCATTACTCATTCCAAGAATTTATCCATTAAACAATCCACATATCTAGAAAGAGTGATAAAATGACAAAAAGTTGATAGAGCAGAGTTACAACACTTCCAATACCTTGAGCCTGATCACCAACAGAGATATTTTCTATATTCCTATGACTCTGGGTCAAGACTGTTGATCGCATGAAAGGATAGATAGATAGATAGATAGATAGATAGATAGTGCACTCACTAACATAGATAGATAGATAGATAGATAGATATAGATAGATAGATAGATAGATAGATAATGCACTCACTAACATAGATAGATAGATAGATAGATAGATAGATAGATAGATAGATAGATAGATAGATAGATAGATAAGAACAAACTGAGATAGACATATAATTAACATACTGACATAAATAGATGGATAATGAACACACAGACATAGATCATGAACCTAGATAGATAGATAGATAGATAGATAGATAGATAGATAGATAGATAGATAGATAGATAATGAACAAACTGGAATAGATAAATAATGAAAAGATAGATAGATAGATAGATAGATAGATAGATAGATAGATAGATAGACAATGAACTCACTGATATAGATAGATAGACAGACAGACAGACAAACTAGGAACAGATTGAGCGGAATAGAGAGTAAGAGAAAGAGAATTGTTGACAAAGCTTGAGTGAAAAGAATCATTCAAAATTCTACAAACATGAACAATGGCTTTTCTCTACAAACCTCACTGGCAATGAAGTCAATTTAAATACTGTAAATTGTCCTTGATGCAGTGAATTGAAAAAGAAAATTCAGTGCACTTGCTGCTGTAGTTGCTTGAAGTAAATTCACACTCAGGTTTGAATTAAAATGAAATGCAACATCAGATGAGAACTGCCCACCTTTTCGCAAATCCCCATAAATAAGATTTCAATCAATCGACTTTTTTGCAAGAATTCTCTCCCACCCATAGTAACAAAATATTGGCAACAATCAAACTGCTTTCTGTGCATTGCAAGCACGACCCACACCTGATTTATTCCTTTGCAATACATCGTGGTATATAATCATGCAATGCAGTTAGTTGGCAATGAAAAAACTTGGCTTAGGTTTGATTAGATAGTGTGTTATCTGTGGCTGAGACTATGAAAGGAATGAGAAAGACTTGTCATAGGATAGATAGATTGAACTGAGATAGATATTAACGGTGAGTGATAGATAGATAGATAGATAGATAGATAGAAACCAACAAACAAAAAATAGGGTTAGAATAATATATGTAGATACGAACAGGCTTAAATAGAGATAGATAGATAGATAGATAGATAGATAGATAGATAGATAGAAAGAGAATGGCATAGATAGATAGATAGATAGATAGATAGATAGATAGATAGATAGATAGATAGATAGTTAGAAACCAAAAAACAAACAAACAAGCAAACAAAAACAAAAACAGGGTTACAATAATATATGTAGATATGAACAGGCCTAAATAGAGATAGATAGATAGATAGATAGATAGATGTTAATGAATATATTGCAATAGCTGGTTTGGAAGTTAAATATATATTTACAGACCACGACAAATATAGATATATATCTACATCTCTATATATCTATATCTAGTGCATACTGATATAGTAATTCAAAGGAGATTAAATTTCAAATTGATAAGTCCTGTAGTTTTTGTTTTTTTTATGGCACTAGACCAGATACATTTTGACCAGACCTTATATATGCGAAAATGATACATCATTTTTTATTTATCAAGAATAATTTTAAGAGGGGGGGATTCTATGACAAAGTGGTACAATTCATCCTTTAGGACATGTTAAGCAGTGTTAGTATAATTATGACATTCTGAACTCAAGTAAAGATAACGGGATGTTTTGAAGCTAAAAAGAAATTACAGATTCCAGACGTAATTGAGAAAAATCATAAATATTGTTTTATGTACGCAAGTGTATCATAATTCTACTTTGTCTATGTGGGGTTTGGATGATAATATATGTTCGTAATTGTCTGCGAGTGTGTATGCGCCATAAACTATACTAACGCTGCTTAAAAAGTCAAATGCATGTAAAACATGCATAACCAATGAAAATCAAACAACACAAAAATAAAAATACTAGAATTTCTTTTTTTTTATCCATATCTCTTTCTTTGATGAAACTTTAATAAAAGTGAAACATGTTAGAATTATAAAATTTTCCTTTTCGTCTGTTCTTTATCATATATATATATATATATATATATATATATATATATATAAAAACAGTAAGATATATAATCCGGTGTTCTTATAGATATTTTTATTTTTACAAAATAGTGCTCAACTCCAAAATTCGCTTGAGGATGAAATTTAATTACAAAATTAAATTCGGGGCTTTTAGCTTCCATTTTTGAAACATGGTTAGAACTGTGTAGCGAAAACAAACATATTTCAAATCAATTAATTTATAATATATATATATATATATATATATATATATATATATATATATATATATATATATATATTATAAAACATATATATATAAATATATATGAAGATTTTATCTTTATATATATATATATATATATATATATAGATAGATATAGATAGATAGATAGATAGGATACACCGTGGAGTAGAGGCTCTGATTGAGGAATTTAAAAGACGAGTTTTAATTCCAGTCGAATCCATTACATTTACTTACGTACTAATACCCTTTAGAAAGGTATGAATCCTCTTCTCCCTCCAGCTATGGGTAAATAGTAAAACAACCTGGGTTCTATAGCCTTGGATGGCAACTAGTCTAGGAGAAGGATAACTCTGAACTATATATATATATATATATATATATATATATATATATATATATATATATATATAATTCACACATTATGAAATGGGCAAAGTCCTACAATTATTTAAGACGTTTTATGTTTATACATTCTTTTTATAGATACAAATATTTAAGTAAATGCTCTGTTTATAATAAACAGTATTAAACAACATTTACGGGCCTGAATGTTCGAGAAATTTTCATAGAAAATATTCGTCCTCCTATGAAAATTTCTCAGAAATTCAGGCCGGTAAATGTTGTTTAATACTGTTTAGTATAAACAGAGCATTTACTTAAATATTTGTATCTATAAAAAGAATGTATAAACATAAAATGTCTTAAAATATATATGAATGCATGAGCACTACTGGTACGATGCAACTGAGTACTACCTGACGCTTGTTGAGGTTATCAGTAACTAAACTGGTTCCCACGCCAGGCTTTCTTAGTAGCGAGAGTATGTAGACACCTTACAGGGTTAAAAAAAAAAAAAGACCTGTTAAAGTGTGTATGAATCTCCTTTCAGGATAAACGGCCGTCTAACACATTCTTCACTAGGAGTATTGAACACTTTAAACTTTCTTAAGCCATTCAGCGAGACAGAAGGAACTCGAAGCTCATTAGCAGCCAATGGTATTGTTGGTCTACGGCCGACTGACACTATTCACATATTGGCATTTTAAATGATTTTCCTCTTTCCCTTTTGGCACCTGGAGCAGCAATAAACATTTCTTTTCAGTCCTATAGATACGAAGCATGTAAGTACCACAGAGAAACAAAATGAAGATTGTATTGAACTGTTCATAACTCCAAGTTCGTTTCTTTCTTTATTCTTCTGTAATATGTCTTGTTAATACATTTACTGATTGTTTTTTCTTTGAATTAGATGTTTTGTGTCCTTTCTTTGTATATATATCCAGTAGAATATCACATTGGGAGTCACCACATTTCTTAAGGAAATGAAATGTATCATTTTATGCCTTCTGGTGCATTTGTTCCACAAACACTATTTAGCGAACTTGTGTGAGTCGTTTTATCTTAAAATTCTCATGACTGCATTCATTGCACGTTAAATTAATCGATATAACAGTTTAATTCTAATAGTTTATTCTTTTTGTACTTCTCATTTGCGGAACTTTCTTCCAGCTTCTTGCTTTCTTTTCAACTATGACCTTCAAAAATATAAATGCAAAGACAGTTGTCATCTTTTGTCTTCTTTGAAACCTATTCTTTTATTGTCGTCTCTCTGTCTCTAATGATATCATTTTCAATAACCTCTTTTAATATCATTCTCAATAATGTCTTTTAATATCATTCTCAATAACCTCTTTCAATATCATTCTCAATAACCACTTTTAATATAATTCCAAATAACCACTTTTAATATCATTCTCAATAATATCTTTTAATATCATTCTAAATAACGTCTTTTAATATCATTCTCAATAACGTCTTTTAATATCATTTTCAATAACCTCTTTTAATATTCTCAATAACGTCTTTTCATGTCATTTTCAATAACGTCTTTTAATATCATTCTCAATAACTTCTTTCAATATCATTCTCAATAACCTCTTTTAATATCATTCTCAATAACCTCTTTTAATATCATTCTCAATAACATCTTTTAATATCATTTTCAATAACGTCATTTTATATCATTCTCAATAACCTCTTTCATCTTTTATTTTCCTTTCTACTCAATAATGTTTAATGTTTATTTCACTCTTGTAAAATAAGGCAATTGTGTGTTGAGTTTGGTAGAAACGCTTAACCGATTTTTCTCTTAAGAAAGGGGAACATACAAAGTCGTGTTTCGATGCGTATCTAATGCGTCTCATCAGGGGATTGTAAATTACTGTTGAGTGAACCACATCTGATTTCTGATCAAAAGCACACAAAACTGATCATTTTATGGGAAATTACAATCACCTCATCAGATGCATTAAGTACGCATCGAAACACAACTGCAAATGTGTAGCGATTTTGACATGTTTTCGATGTAATATCCAAAAATAAGGAATATTGCTCTACTTTGTATTGAGGCCTCTTTTAAATTAAATGTACAAACGTTGGAATTATATTCTATCCGTTCTCATCTATATATATATATATATATATATATATATATATATATATATATACACACGCACACACACATATATATATGTTAGCTCTATCTCTGATATTGAGCGCATATAATATATAAATAATTATACATATATATATTTATTTATATTTATATACACTTTTCACACACACACACACACACATATATATATATATATATATATATATATATATATATATATATATATATATATATTATATATATTATATATATACTTTTTTTATTAAGATGAGTAAATGACTTTTCACCTACGAATTTTAATTTTAAAATTGCAGGATTTTTCAAACGGTCTGTTTGTGTTAATGTTTATTTTCATTAAACTCTGTTTAATGAAAATAAACATTGAGCGCTCCTTTGTGGGTCAGTTTCGAATTGACATGTGGGGTCAAGCAGATCAGTTCTTAGGAAAGTGACAGCCGACAGCATCACATGAGATTTGATTATAGTGGTGAATGTTTTGTGCGAAACCATCCACAATACAGAGACGTGGTTCAACGCGTGCCCCAGGGTCCTCCGGCCCTCCGCAGGTTTTGAATTCAGAGTTGTCCTTCTCCTAGACTAGATGCCATCCAACGCTATAGAACCCAGTCTATTTACCCATAGCTGTAGGGAGAAGAAGAGGATTCATACCTTTCCCAAAGGTATTAGCACGTAAGTGAATATAATGTATTCGACTGGAATTGAACTCGGCTCTCCGATTCCTCAATCCAAGCCGGTATCCATTATATATATATATATATATATATATATATATATATATATATATATTATTTATTTAAAATAACAAGTTCAACACGCTACGAGTTCTCATGTTTCAAAACAAGAGCCATTAACTTCAATATAATTATTTGAATTAAACTGAATTAAAGTCCTAAGCTCCGTTCCATCTTTTAAGCGAACAAAAAAAATTTCGCTTGAAGATGGAAATAGAGCTTATTACTTTAATTCAATTTAATTCAAATAATTATATTGAAGTTTTTCTTTGTTTTGAAACATGAGAACTCTTATGTAGCGTGTTGAATCATATTTTTAAATAAATAATTATATTTATGCTCTACTTTTGTATCGAGTACTATTTTTTAAAAATAATAACAAAAATACTAAAGAACTTTGGATTATTTACCTAACGAGTTCTTTCCTATTTTCTATATTTTTTCCACACACACACACACACACACACACACACACACACACATATATATATATATATATATATATATATATATATATGGATGTAGGTTAGACAGACTCGAAATAGTGAAACAAAGAAAGCGGATTTACAAGTTTACTTGGTATGTAGTTAGATCAGCTGATTTCAAAAGCAGGTCAAGAGGAAAACAAATACTTAAATACGAAAAAATATAGTTTTGTAAACATCTAAGCAGAAAGAAAAATAAATTTCAAGATAGTAAATTTATCTTAAGCACTAAAATCAAGACTAATACCTGTTCTTAATTTTAGTTATCTCCCCTTCTCTTTCCCACACAACTGCCGCCATTTTTTTTTTCGTTTTTCTGTTCTTTGTATCATATCTCCTTTTATTTATTTAGTTTTCTTTTAGTTGTCCCTCCTTATGAAGCAATCAAA